ACACTCCACCACTCTCTTATCAAACAAGCGGTAGAAATATGTCTTAAAATTTCTAGAGGAAATATTGGTGTGTATCGATTGCGTTAAATGTAAATCAGAGTTTTTGTTATCAGTGAAGAGGTTTAAGTGAATACTTCCATAAATCTCAAACATCTGTGTTATGTGCGGTCGATTACTTTACATCGACTTGACGTGTAGGCGATCCACGTGATTTGATCAATCACGTGGTCAGGTTAATTTTACAGTCGCAAAATCGACCTCCATCGACCTCATCATGACCTTATCGTCAACAAGTTAGAAAGTCTACACCCATAAAGTGACTTATTTTATCAACTTTATTTTACAACAATCCCGAAACAAGTCATTCAACTTATACTAATAATTCTTGTTGACCCGGGAGTCAGCGCACGAGGAGGAAACCGGAGTACCCGGGGAAAACCCGCGTGGTCGAGCAGATGACACCATGCTTTGTCACACTCGTTCCGGGAATCGAACCCCGGACGGCGAAATAATGAACGACTTAATATTATGACTTCAAGATTGCCTGCTATGGAAAATTTACCAACTTCTTAAATTACTTTAAGTTTGAGTTACCCTCAGACATCCTTTCGACATTGAGTTAGCTTCAAAGAATACAATGGATGAGATTTATTTCCGTACTGAGATTTGTAAAACCAAAGCAGCGGTACAACATTTCACTATTGACTTACCGTCCAAAGGCAATGATCCCCTATAAGACATCCCCAACTGTCCTTTAAATATCCGATTTCTTTTTCATAAAAGTATCATCAAATCTGTATCTAAATACATCTATATCATCAGCAATGTCTGCAAATTATTAGTTTTTCTTCATTTAAGAAGTGCTATTTTTCGTCAAATCCCGATAAAAAAAGAAAAATGGAAGAGATAAATTGTACTTAAATCATGTCTTGCGAAGGATTTCTGCTTTGTTATAAACTTTTAGTAAATATGACAGAACTTAAATACACGTTTTGTCTATTCCTACAACAAGAGGAACTTGAAAACCTTCCACTAAGCCGTGATTTTTCCATTTCTGAACAGCAACATTTCTGCGTCCCCATCCTATGGTGTATACATATCGAATTCAATTCGATTTTCAAGTGTCTGCGCCCATTATCACGGTTTTCGTACATGAAATCGTCAACTGACAAGCAAACTCGAGACTCAAGATTTCAAAAGACTGGTGAAAATTATAGAGACATTCTACAATCCTTATAGTGATTTCATTGAGAAACATCATCTTCCGTTGCGCGATATGAAGCTAGGTGTGTTTGCTGCTCGTTAGTTTGACTTTAGGTTCCGTTGTTGTATATCTTGTTTTTATTTGAGAACGGTACGTTACTTACTTGGATTGACAAAGATTTACATGGCGGATGTTGTCGATGAAGCAGAAGACGGTTTCTCTTCCGGAACACCTGGTCTTATTATCCTTGCATTTTTTTTTCAGGAATCTCCGTGTACATAATTCTTTTGTTCATATTTTGTTGTTGTTATTGTTGTATCCAGCTTTGAACGATCTTGACATCTGACAAGGTCCACCTCTATCCTGTTGTGTTATTTATTATCCTGACAGCAGGATTGTTATTATCAACATGGTGTGATAATAATCTATAATGTTATCTTGTAAGGTCGAGTGGTCACCTGTCAGTTCCTAACCCCACTGCTCCCCCCCCCCCTTTCTTAGGTAGAAATCAGAAACCACAATTAGATAAATGTCTTGGTTTCACTTTGAGTAAGGGTAGTTCTTGATATGACATGTTTGTATTTTGTCTGAAACATGTCCAAAATCTTCCATACAATTTTAGATTTTCCTACGCGGTGATTGGTTACTGGTCGGGTATTTACTGCATGACGTCAGAGTAGCGCAGTGAGCAATCAGATTCTTCCACACAAATCCGCATATTTTTAGACTGTGTCATGTTAAATGTTTCTGATGTCTATTTCATCATATTACATGTCAGGTTTTAGAATTCTGATCCAGGAAAAAAAATTAGAACCCTTTCAATTCAGGAACGACTGCATGATATCGTCCGATCGAAGTTTGTTGCTATGGAAATGTATAAACAAAACAAGTAAACAATCGAAAAATAAAATCGCGAAAGGGATGACTGCATTGACAATAAAGTTCGTCCTCAAATCTGATGAGTGTGATGCTTTGTCTGCATTTGACTGTGTTAGAATAGTTATTAGAGTACTGCCGAACGTTTCCTAACGCTCTCATTGAGAGGCATATATAGAGATAACATATATTCATTAACCCTAACACCTGCGAACAGTCTATTATTGTCTTACTCTGAATTCCCACTCGGATGTGTTGGTGTTTTCTTTCCTCCAGACACACTCGACAGCCCAATCTTAGGTATACACACCCACAGATTTATCTACTTGTCCAGACAACCGTCTGTCTCTTCTAGAGTGCACTGATATTCCACAAAACATATCCTACGCGAACGATAAATCCTTGTCACGTGACTGTCGTTATGATAAAAATCAAACAATGCAATAACAGACTCGGGTACACGTGCTCACCTTAACATGGCGTCAGACTTCTTAGCTTCGAGTAGACATTAAACACTTAACAAACTATTTAAATAGTACACGAGAAAAACAAAATGATAAAAAATCAGCGGAGAAAAAAATAAGATTAAACATTGATATAATAATAAAACACAAATTAAGGAGTGTTTTTTTTTTCATTTGATGCTTATTCAAGATATTATTCCTTTTGTATTTTTTGTCCATTCAGTAAATGTTGTTGTGTACAATAGAAACTTTATAGATATGATATGCAACCGTTTTCTCAAAACTATGATACAATGTAAAACTGGCGATCTGGAAAACGATGAAAGCGTCTCCCTAGCTATACAACATCAATACAAGTGTTTCACAATTTGTGTGGTATGGTTGTACTGAGCGGGTATTATCAGTCATCAGAACCACAGATAAATAGTTTTATGTTGATGTCGTTAGAAATAATATCACGTATTATATCATTCACTTATTAACAAAAAGAAAAACCATTAAAACTCAGATATATCATTGTATCTATGTATGTTAACAGAAACATGAATGTGATCACTTTCATAACGGTTAATATAATTTAGACTTTCATAATAAAAATGTCTTTCCGACCACCAATATGTTTTTGAACTGCACCTATCTCCAAGTTTCCAATATAATTTTCTACTTACAGTTAAACGACTCGTTCGCATTCAGATTTAACAAATATATATAATATAATGTTTGTACATCGATATCGTCCACGTGCACGTGCATAATCCACGTGCACAGAAAATTACTCGAGATGTTACAAACCTGTGACGACATCCGTAAACACAATTGAGCATTTCGGAATTGTTAAATCACCCTGCAATTTTGTAATGTTAGATATATAATACAAACTTCCTAGTAACCAAGATCTAAGACAAACATCTTAATGATTCTGATGATATCAACATTTACCGGGAAAGCACTGCACAGTCTTCCTTAAGTCAGGGATTGTCCTCAATTAGTTCAGAATATTCCCTAAAGAATTTCCTGAGTTCAACCGGGTGATAATCTGGTTTCAAGAGCTTATTTGCTATAAGTTTATTTATTTATTTATTTATTTATTGTTATGTATTCATTTATTTATTAAGCTGTTTTTAACAAAGTATCTCAGATTTCTGTGCAATATACTTTTAATTCAATATAAAACAAAACACTGCGTTTTGTACTTTAGATATAATGGATAATCTTGTAAAACATTGCGTATTTCTTTAAAGAATGTAATATCTAAAATTTGATACGTAAAAGCAATTATGTAAATATGATGTTAAAGTCACGGACAAATTAATAACACGTGGACTCAACTTCATTATCCTAATCACCACGTGGTAAAGATTCGTTTTTAACAAGCCAAACTCGCCAGCTATTTCCCTTTAAGATGAAACTTTTTTTTTATTTTATAGGTTCATTAAAAAAGAAAAAATGATATTGTGACGTCATATAATTATGATGTCACAATAACAGCAATATGACGAAAGTGTAATTACATGGCTAAGCTGAGAGCTTACTAACATATGTAAATTTCCGTATAGTTTATTTGTAGGTAAATTTCAAATCTTTAAGGTACAATTTTAGCGGAAACATGTCTGATAAGGAATTTTATAAAGAAAATAAATACTTTCGGAAAGTATAAGTATATAAAGTTATTCAAAAATAATGTTCTTAGGTCTTGATTCATTACCTTATAAAATATCGATATAAAATGATTATCAACGTCTTACTAGAAACAGCATCTTGCCGTTTCAATATATTTCAATTACTTACAATGTGAGTCATTCTAAGTGCCAGGTCTTTTCATACTTTTACAAATGTCTTTCTTTGATTGGCTTAAGAAGTAAATCTGTACAAACACAACGGCGTTCATTTATCAATTAGCTGACATCTCTTCTATAATATGACGCACTGTCCCAGCGAAATGTAATAAATTGAAATCATCCCGACATATTTGATAAAAGGACCTGTTACCTAGTCTGGTAGTTAAACACAAGTCGACTAAAGATAGCTGTTCAACACATCTTTCGGAAACAAGGATTGGCCTCATAGAAGTAAACAATCGTTCATATTTGATATCTAATGCTTTAAACATTCCCAGCTCAAGGTCTTCTCTTTATATCATACGAGTATCTTCATTGATTTCACTTCAGGCAAAGCAGGAGAAAGCAAGAGTTTTCAGTCGTGTTGAAGAGATTTGTGTAGGAAGGTAGGTTCTATGTAGAACTCGTGGTTAGTAGTGGGTCAGTGTCTGAGATAATCTTCACCTTGTACGCATTGATTTTTAACCAATAAGATAAGACAGGAACTGTATTTAAGTCTGCTACAAGGAGATATAGACCACAAACTATAGGAGACACCATCTGTGATACATTGTAATATTCTTAAAATCATATCATCAGACATTTAGACTTCGGTGTAAGTTTACCACGCTGGGAATGATGTTTGGTTTTATGGTGGGTGTGTTGGTGGTGGCTTTGTGCTGTGAACACTGTGAGGGCCATGGCCGACTGTTAGAACCTCCTTCCAGGTCCAGTATGTGGCGATCAATGAAGAATGGAGCCCGCGAATTTCCTGATGCTCCTATTAACTACAACGATAACCAACTTTTCTGTGGGGGAAGAATCGTGAGTATTCTTAACATTTTTTTTAATCTTTTCCCAATGATTTCAGTCTGTTATAATTCTAACCTTGCCACGTTGCCTTTCATTTCATAAAATACACATGTGCTTGACGTTCCTTTAAAATAATTCAATATAGAAAAAATGAATTTTTTAAAATCTTACCTTTTCACACTTCTCAATCTGGTCCCGTATTCAGGAAACCATTCTCATGCTCAAGCATAGATTTTGTGCTCAACCAAACATTTTTATGATTCACCTAAATCATATAAAATAATACAAATGTTAAATGTAAACATTGAATATAACTTTGACTTGAAGTCCTTTCAATTGTTTTTTAATTCTTTGGCAAAATTAGCCTTATTTATTAATTTAACTTAAACAAGACATGAGACTTGAGCACAGAATTCATGCTCGAGCATGAGGACGGTTTCATCAATACGAGCCATGGTTTGACTAATTTTAATTTTCTTCAGCCGCTCTTAGGTTTCAACGCATTACACCCTTAGCATCAATGCCACAGGGCAGAACCATCTTCTTATAAATATACATTTCAGCATATCCCTTACCAAACTTACCAAGAAGCCTCATGAGGATGTCATAAAGTGCTGTTATCTCAAAAAGAAGTTGGTTCAGAATTTAGCACAATGACAAAATGGCCCATACTTTTCCACTTACAAAATCATAAATAAAGCAGGATGTTTGTGAGAACAATTTTCGTTTACAGAACATAGTTGTCTTGTTTCAATGCCATTTTAGATCATATGATAGTTTACACCATATAATTAATTCCGTAGATATGTTTTTTTCCCTTTATACTTGTAGATACATAAATATTGTTACTATTTTTTCCAATAAACATGCAAATCCCCTTTACTTGAATTCACACCAAAGATATAACATTCCAGTACCAGTTCAAAACATATTTCAGACAACGTAATCGTGCAAAATGCCCTCCTGCCTTACAACGAGAGGCAAAGAGATAATAGCAAGTGATTACAACTCATTTTAGGACAAAAATATGAGATATGATGTTGCAATACAGACCTATTCACGAACACTAATATTCATTAAAACCCTATTGATTAAGCTGAAAGTGTCCAATGTTGATTAAGCTAAAAGTGTACAATGTTGATTAAGCTGAAAGTGTCTAGAGTTGATTAAGCTAAAGGTGTCCAATGTTGATTAAGCTAAAAGTGTACAATGTTGATTAAGCTGAAAGTGTCCAGTGTTGATTAAGCTAAAAGTGTCCAATGTTGATTAAGCTAAAAGTGTACAATGTTGATTAAGCTGAAAGTGTCTAGTGTTGATTAAGCTAAAAGTGTACAATGTTGATTAAGCTGAAAGTGTCCAGTGTTGATTAAGCTAAAAGTGTCCAATGTTGATTAAGCTAAAAGTGTCCAATGTTGATTAAGCTAAAAGTATATAATGTTGATTAAGCTAAAAGTGTACAATGTTGATTAAGCTAAAAAAGTGTACAATGTTGATTAAGCTAAAAGTGTATAATGTTGATTAAGCTAAAAGTGTATAATGTTGATTAAGCTAAAAGTGTCCAATGTTGATTAAGCTAAAAGTGTATAATGTTGATTAAGCTAAAAGTGTCCAATGTTGATTAAGCTAAAAGTGTACATTGTTGATTAAGCTAAAAGTGTATAATGTTGATTAAGCTAAAAGTATATAATGTTGATTAAGCTAAAAGTGTATAATGTTGATTAAGCTAAAAGTGTCCAATGTTGATTAAGCTAAAAGTGTATAATGTTGATTAAGCTAAAAGTGTCCAATGTTGATTAAGCTAAAAGTGTACAATGTTGATTAAGCTAAAAGTGTCCAATGTTGATTAAGCTAAAAGTGTCCAATGTTGATTAAGCTAAAAGTGTACAATGTTGATTAAGCTAAAAGTATATAATGTTGATTAAGCTAAAAGTGTCCAATGTTGATTAAGCTAAAATTGTACAATGTTGATTAAGCTAAAAGTGTCCAATGTTGATTAAGCTAAAAGTGTCCAATGTTGATTAAGCTAAAAGTGTATAATGTTGATTAAGCTAAAAGTGTCCAATGTTGATTAAGCTAAAAGTGTATAATGTTGATTAAGCTAAAAGTGTCCAATGTTGATTAAGCTGAAAGTGTCCAATGTTGATTAAGCTAAAAGTGTCCAATGTTGATTAAGCTATAAGTGTATAATGTTGATTAAGCTAAAAATGTCCAATGTTGATTAAGCTAAAAGTGTATAATGTTGATTAAGCTAAAAGTATATAATGTTGATTAAGCTTAAAGTGTATAATGTTGATTAAGCTAAAAGTGTACAATGTTGATTAAGCTAAAAGTGTCCAATGTTGATTAAGCTAAAGGTATATAATGTTGATTAAGCTAAAAGTGTACAATTTTGATTAAGCTAAAAGTGTCCAATGTTGATTAAGCTAAAAGTGTATAATGTTGATTAAGCTAAAAGTATATAATGTTGATTAAGCTTAAAGTGTATAATGTTGATTAAGCTAAAAGTGTACAATGTTGATTAAGCTTAAAGTGTCCAATGTTGATTAAGCTAAAGGTATATAATGTTGATTAAGCTAAAAGTGTACAATTTTGATTAAGCTAAAGGTTACTAATATCGAGCTATATTCCATTTGTTGTGTTCGTAATCAAACGGATAAAATAAAGTACATACAATAGAATACACCGATATAAGTCCTAATTCCAACTTAAAATCTGCGAAACAAGATGAAAATATAAACAACAGATTTAGATGAATATTCATGGCAACGTACATGTAGAACTAGATGTTCCGGTAGGGTTAGCTTTCTAAAATTCCGTATAATTTGTATTGTGCAGGTGTTAGTTCGGTTTTATTATTTTATTTCATTGTATTTTTGGTATGCTTATCGTATAATGTCATAAAGTAAATAACTTGAAAATTAAGCCAAGCGCAGATCCACTAGCTCATAGAAAATATATGTAAATGTAACAGACTATATTATGTGTGTTATTAGAAGAATATTAAATCATCATCACCTTGGATAGTTGATATGTCAAGTGCTTGGTATCCCTATGTTAGTTATGATACTCATATGAAAATTGTAAAATCACATCTACACACATCACAGTAGTACAAACGACGCCAAAGTGAACAGCATCTCCGACTGACAAAACCTAACTAGAGGTAACTTAACGCAAGAATGAGTTCAAATGCACCAAAACTCAATACATTTTACAAAATCCATCAGTAAAGACTATTCAATATTTCTGTAGTTATTATTTATGATGATAGAATACGCCCAGCCGCTTAAAGTTATATATTAACCATGAACAATCAAACAAATGCTTGAGACCTCTACGCAATGTGAATATGTAAGTTTATTAACTAGTGGTTTAAACTCATTTCAAACACTGCAATCCCGCCATTTGAATAAAACTACAGACAACAACATATCTAAAACATCAAAGGAGGTATTTTGGATAAACAACTCTTCTGTTTTGGTGTAACTGGAATTTCTCCCTAAAACTTCATTGTTTCAGGTAATGTGCACCGGTTTTTTTAAGATAAGGTTTTCATGTGGCGAATCAAGACGAATATTTCATATCATAATTTGACAATTTAAACATTGATGTTATACCAATGTCAAAAATGTCCGTCATCATGTCTAATCTATACTGTGTACAAACATATTGTTTAAAACCTGTACAATGATATATAGGGAGGTTTTTTGTCTTAAAACGTTGCTAAATTACTGATTAGTATTTAGATGGAGTATTTTCTGACTGGATGATAATTATCAGAATCTGTTGATAGTACCTATACAAATGTCAGGTGTTGTCTGTAGCCAGATTTTAATATTTTTTTAAATGCACTAAATTCATCGTTATCTTTCATTATAAAAATCTGCAGTCATTCTTTTGGGCTGGTGTAGCAAACACCTTGTCGTATTTAATTTGATTTTTTAATCTTCACAAACAAAACACTCCACGTAATTACATATCAAGTAACAACAATTGTCTCATGAATAAACATAAACCTGAAATAAGGCTTATCATCATCATCATCATCATCATCATCATCATCATCAACGTCATTAAAACTGTGACAATTTGAACGCGACAGTATCTGAGTGAATTTTTCGGGTAGTGTTACCAACAAGAAAAAACAAACAATGGGAAGCAAATTCTAGTTAGGGATTGAACAACAAACCAAGAATGTCAAAAGGAAAGCGCACAATATATCATCAATTTTCAGAAAAAGAAAAAAGGCTCACCTAAGATAAGAAATGAAGAAACGTTTTAATAACGACATACTCATTAACATAAATATGAAAACCAATACCAAGGAGTGACTAAAACAATCGACACACAAGTGAATAGCACCTTGTGAAGAAACTACACAGTTGTTTCGCCAGGAGCCTATATGTTTAAGATAAGGTGGCCGATGTGGACAACAATAATTAAACATAAACAATATATGTTTGTCAATATATATTTAGACATTTTTCTAATATTTACTACCTTACCGTTAACTGATGGTGTAATTTATGATCATTTGATTGGTTACTAGGGTGCCTATTCCACGCTTGGTTTTATTCTCCTTGTACTTTGTCAGGAGTCTCAGTGTAATAATTGCCCAAGTTTTATTGAGTTAGAGTTTTAACTACGGTTATGTTGGTAATGTCGTGCTTTTTTACTAAATATTTGATGGATTAATGGTCAATATTCTCTTGGTTATAAATCCTTGTGTCATTTATCGTGAAAGTTGTAAGATAACGATTTGTTGAATGATATTCGTACAAAAGACATAATCATATTCAATCTAGTGACATCTTTAGTCTTATTAAGATATTAAACCCTACATTTTAACGAAGTATAAAAAAGGACCCAGTAGCAACAAGGGAACAAGTGCAGCTGTATATAGTATATATGTTATTAAAATCTGGTACATGAATGACGTCATATGCATGTTAAGTAAGTACTATTTAGGTTTGTCATCTGTTAATATCAAAAGAACAATTTCCCACTCCAAAATCAGAAGTCAAACATGTCACTGATCTCAGAGAGACGAAGGAAGTAAAGATTAATATTGCTCGCCCATCAAAAGCTATCTGAAGAGTGCTGACAGGGTTAGGTAACTCTGAAGAGATAAGGCCGCACAAATATAAATTACCTACTAGATCATACTCACTAAGTACACTCGCGCGTGTTTGAACTTAGATAGGGGTAACGATAACAGTAATTTGTTTTCATATCAAAGATGGTTGTTGCCGAGCAGATGTGCTATGTATGAAGTATGATCCTCGTGTTTGAACAGGCACAATAAGATTGATAAATATTCATTAATTTTATTAATTTGTAACATTAAAATCTATTTTACCACAAAATACGAACACAATCAAATATATCGATTTTTTTTTATGATGAGAGAAAGATAATGATTTGTCACAGACTTAAATGTCCTGACGTCATCGATAAACACACCCATCTGGCCTCCTACTTGTCAGTCACTCTCAAAATTTCCCTTACTTGTCTACATATATCTTGTCTAGTTACGATGTTTGTACTTAAAGAATATACCAACATGGCTTCATAATCATAATGCAAACTCCAATTCTATAAAACTAGGGCAAAACATGAACAAAAGGAAGGTTTACGCGGAGACCCATGAAAAAGTAAAAGGAGAATAAAACCAGGTGTTCCGGAAGAGTAAACGTCTTCTGCTTCATCGACGACACCCGCAATGCAAGCATATGAACAATCAAAATAAATAATGTAACGTTCTCAAATGAGAACAAGGTATAGAACAACGGAAACAACAGAAAACTTGGAATAAGAACGTATGGTATTTAAAACGATACTACTTTAATGACATAAATCTATAAATATATTTCAGAATTTTATCTACCAACGCCAGCAGTGTGGGATATGTGGAGATCCCTATCAGGGGCCCAGAAACAACGAGGCTGGAGGCCGCTACGCTCAGGGAATCATTGGCAGGCATTATACTTCCGGTCAGACAATCGATATAAACGTCGAAATAACAGCCAATCACTTGGGCTACTTTGAGTTCAGACTGTGTCCAAACAACAACGTTAACAAGGCTGCTACACAGGAATGTTTAGACCAGCATCTGCTGAGGCTAGAGAATGCTGACGGCACAAGGTATATCTGGAAAATTGTAGATCTTTCGACTTATTTCGTTTTTTATTTGCGTTTGATTTCAATTTCACACCAATTTTCATTATTTTTGTTTTTGAGACATTTTGATAGTAGACCTTTTTCTTTACAAGGTTCTATGTGTGTCTCACTAAAATCAACAAGAAAATGCCAACATGTCAATATAGTCAAATTCAACTAAGGCAAAATACAAACTGACAAAAGAAAATTTACACAAAGACTCCTAAAAAAGTGGAGAATAAGACCAAGTAAGTTCTACGGTCTTCATAATAATATCATTGCGTATTTGTTTGAACATCGTCGTCGATGAATCATAACACGCTTGCTCTTCCGGAACACCTGGTCTGATTCTTGTGTTTTGAAAGGGATTATCTTTCTTTTGTTCATGATTTGCCCCAGTTTTCTGTTATGATTATGTTTACATGTTGGTATTTTCTTGGTTTTTTTTTATTTTTTTTTTTATTTAGTTATTTGAAGGTTAAGTGATCAATATTCTCTTGATTATGAATCTAGTGACATCTTTATTATAAAGGTGATATAGAAACCCTACATTTTAACAAAATTTAATTACGTTTTAGGTACTATTTAGGGGGCAAAAGGGGAGCAGTTAATCTGAGGGCGATATTACCACAAGGTCTCACCTGTTCTCAGTGCGTGCTTCAATGGCGGTGGAATACAGGTGAGAAACATCCCAATTACCTCAATAATGACGAACATCAAAGCCAACAAAAGACTGCTAAGTGTCTATATGCATATATATCACTAGATGTGTTTTATATTCAAAACGAACTATTAATTATCGACAGTGTGATCCGTGAAATGGAACAATTATTTTGACGGCTAGCCATCACATATTTACACTTAACCACCTGACATAGCCTGATCGGTAGATGTACATCTTTTTTTATTTTTTTTTTAAAAATCAAGATAACAAAGTGAATAAATGTACAAATAATATCAACATGATTATAACAGACACATGAACTATTACTATAATGATAAGAGATTGCAAACCAACGTTTCGTTATGATGATATGTATATCATAACAATGATATTTGAGGACCTAGATATGTATATTATACAATGATATTTGAGGACCTAGATATGTATATTATACAATTATATTTGAGGACCTAGATATGTATATTATACAATGATATTTGAGGACCTAGATATGTATATTATACAATGATATTTGAGGACCTAGATATGTATATTATACAATTATATTTGAGGACCTAGATATGTATATTATACAATGATATTTGAGGACCTAGATATGTATATCATAACAATGATATTTGAGGACCTAGATATGTATATTATACAATGATATTTGAGGACCTAGATATGTATATTATACAATGATATTTGAGGACCTAGATATGTATATTATAACAATGATATTTGAGGACCTAGATATGTATATTATACAATGATATTTGAGGACCTTGATATGTATATTATACAATGATATTTGAGGACCTAGATATGTATATTACACAATGATATTTGAGGACCCAGAAATGAATATCATTACAATGAGTACCGATATATTTGAATAACATGATGTGTCTACTTTCTGTAATTTACAGGAAACAGCAATAGTTAGGCGCCTAACGGTGCATATATGTCTACTTTCTGTAATTTACAGGAAACAGCTATGGTTATGCGCCTAACGGTACTTACTGCATTGGTTGTGGACTTCAGGAAATGTTCCTCGGCTGTTCAGATATAGCCATATCCGCCGGAAGTAATGGTCAGGTGCAGCCACAAGTCACTTCTAGACCAGTAACATCTGCTCCAGTTCAGACGCAGAGGCCGATGATTATCACTGCTAAGCCAGTCAGCAACACACCTAACCCCGCCCAACCTATCCAAACCGTCCGACCCAATTCTGGTATTTTCTTTGGACAGACGAACATTCAGATCGGACAAACGGGCGGACAGACAATTACTGGGTGTCGCGCTATTAACCTATGGGCAGGGGTAGCCCAACTCGATCAATGGTGCCTTGATAACTGTCAGAAGGGAAATTGTCCGCCTGAAGCTTGCAAGTGTAATTAAACCGTCCATTTGTACAATAAACCTCAATACAATGTCCCTTGTTCTGTAATAAAACCTCGACATAATGGCCGCAGATCTACTAGCCGCTTCGTTCATAATGAAAATCATTTTTTGGATGTTACTTATTATCATTTGTCTACATTATCTTGGTAAAAATGTTGCGATAACATTAGACAATAGGTAGAGATGTTTCTGTTAAATAATTAAAAATTCCCTGTGATGTTATTGCATGCAGCTTCCTGTCCTAAACGTTAGGGCTTACAGTGTATGTGATGCTTCATGTTAAAACAGTTGTTATCTCGTTATCTCGAATTCATATAACTCGATGATCCTGTTTAATTCGGAGTATTTGGCGGTTTAACATATGTGTTTCCACACATTTCATGGGTAAATCATCAAAGCCACTAATACTATGTAATTTTTATCTCGTTATTTATAGGTCTATAAATTTCATGGATTAAGAGAAACTATGGATCTAACAATAAATAAAAATCTAACGAAAATCAGTAACGATACAGTTCACGTTATACTGGCAATGATGAACATCGGTATAGATGTGTTTACAGTTAGTTCCCCTGATTATATGTGGCGCAACAAAAACAAGGTTCTTTTGAGGATTCTACGTAAAAAATCTTAACACGTCAAAAATTTTGTGAGGAAAGCAAGCCAATCCATATCTGGGTGTTAAAAAAGAACATCGCAAATTGGACTGAATTTTCATCCCTTTCGGCCCCATTCAACAGCCAATAGGGTCAGCCAAGTTCACTATGGGCATACCGTGAAAATATCATCCTAAACTGACAATTCTTACCAAGTCTGAAACATAACCGATAGAAATTTTACTAAATCAACCATAAGGAAATATACACCCCCTCCCAAGGGGATTTTTTTAGAATTTGTGCAAACTTTTTACAACACTTTCAATCAATATGATGTATTTGATTCTATTAATATTTGTGTTGAAAATGAATTAATTTTTTTGAAGTTTACATAAATGTGACCTCTTTTGGTCCAATTTATCAGCATCTGTAGGTCAGCAAGAATCGATCTGTACATACTATCAAACCATCATCCAAAGCTAAAACTATAGCCCATTTTTGAAATAATTCCTATCGATACAAATATTTCTTCCGGAAACAAACTTTTGAAATTATTTTTAACCTTTCGCTTTTGGAGACCGGAGACTACGTAATACGCATTTTATTTCAATTTTCCCGAGGAAGATTTCCGCCAAAAAAAAAGTAAAATGTTTTCGAACACACAATGGACGTGGGCTCCACTCGACGCCAGACAAAAGGTCAATAGGTCACCATGAACTGAGATCTCATGTACATACAATAAATATATTGGAACTTACAACGAAATCTTTGAAATCGACATTTCGTTCGTGTTTTGGTGATATGTATTGTTCTTTTCTAGTTCGTACACCAATGTGCGATGAATATCCTAAAAATAGCTGATAATAATTTAATGTTTCTATTCGTTGGTTCAATAATTAACCTAAACGTAAAATTCAGCGATAAAAATACCGTGTTACCTCACCGATTGGAATTATATTGGAAAAGAGGACAACTCTAAATATATATATATATATATATATATATATATATATAACTAAGGGTAAAACATGGCAACCCTAATTCGTGACAGCAGTCTCCAGAACTATCATAAATACACTTGTTATTAAGGAATCATACACCAATTTTTTCCCCTTATTTTCTTTTTCTCTTTTATTTTATTATCTTTCTTTATTGCCTGGTATTGACATATAACCATATTTATGTACATAAATTTAAAATTGTCATTTTACAAAAGTTTTATCTATTTGTTATCATCTAAATGGAGAAACTGGTCAACAGACTTCAACATTCTGAATTAATAAATCATATACAAATGAAAACTCTCTCCTATATAGATATCAATAACATTCCATATTATATGAAAGTTGTCTCCCTTTTACCAAGAAGTTGATTGTCACTTATTGATGCACGTGTTCGTTCATCGTCCATGTCAGGTTTTACACGTACAATGAGGACAGAATGTTTCAGCGTTAAATCCTTCACAGCCAGCTGGACAGTTTTTATCCAACGGAAGACATATATCTGAAATAAAATAGAATATCTTATTCCCTATAACCCATTGCCATAGTGCTAATGTCTTCAGGTAGTGTACACATATATTTATCATATTAAATGTTCTACGTTTTTAGAAAATATCGATGTCATTAAGAAAACATTTGTCATGTAAAGTATTGATTCTTCAGCAGTTGTTATTTTCCAGCACTGTGCACAGAAGAATGTTGACAAAGCACTTAAACGCTGTCATTGTTTATATAAGGACAGTGACACGTGTTGTCATTACTACTATCTGATGTATGTAATTATATCTTTGTAATGAAAAGTGTTTTTCATTTGTTGGCATTTGCATAATCTTGGAAATTGCACGTGGAAGAAACTCCTGATTACGTTTGAGTCACCAAGATTTGCCGTAATTTACATGCCACGTTTTGAATGATTCCAATAGTGGCACAATCCAAAATACTCTCGCGTACTTGAATATTATGAAATATATTAAATCATAAGGCACGTGCATTTCCATATGTCTTTTTTTTTTACATTTACCTTGACTTATTTAGATTCGGTCGAGATTAAAGCTACCAACTTGTGGACATTTGCATTCAGAGATTAAGAGTGCCAACGAAATAAGAAAAAGAAAAATCCCGACAAATAATAATGGCTTTATAGAACGACAAAATACAATGTCTTCCAATATTTGTTTAAAAAGATCAATCTAGCTTTGTAGTGATTCTTCAACAGAATCTGGGGCATGCAAATGAAATATAATTGCTCAAAGATGATTACGTACTCAATAGGTAGTAAACAGATCCTTACAACCATCGATATCATTTCTTTATGAAACCGTTACTTCTGAATCTCGTGTAAACATAAGTATGTTGTGAACCAACCAATGAATAGGTCATTGTAGATAAATAGTTCATCTCATATATAAAAAACTCTTCAGGGATACAAAAATAATAAGATCAATAATTTGTTATACATATATATATTTCATTTAAAATTTTAAAAAATCGACAAAGTGTAATACTTCAATAACATTTACCAGTCCTTTATCGAAATTATTTTCTAATTCTTTGTATGGCCCGCAGTATAATACGAATCGTTAGGATCATACCTTCAGTGGTAGCGATACCTGGACTTTTTCCATTTCGGACATTTTGTGATTTTTCACATCTACACACAGGACAGAAGTAATTATCTCCGTCGAGGAATAAACATTCATCCGGGCATTCATCTTGTATAGGTCTGCATACTGTTGTAAATAAGGCAGCAGTTAAGATCAGAATTAGAAATTCATTGAAATCAGAATAAAGACATCAAAACTAATAAAAAAAAAAAACAGGAAAAAACATGTCAACCTAATCGTAATCATTTCTTTTAAATTCAATAAAACTGGAACAAAATATGGAGAAAAGAAAGATTTTACACAGACACCCCTTAAAAAACATTCACGGAGAATTAGACCAGGTATGGTTACATACAGGCAGATTTACTTGAATTAGGGATAGGGTTATATGTAATATTGTCTGATAAATACAGGCAGATTTAAATGGATTAGGGATAGAGTTAATGTTATATTGTCTGATAGATACAGGCAGATTTAAATGGATTAGGGATAGAGTTAATGTAATATTGTCTGATAGATACAGGCAGATTTACCTGGATTAGGGAAAGGGTTAATGTAATATTGTCTGAAAGATACAGGCAGATGTACCTGGATCAGGATTAGGGTTAATGCAATATTGTCTGATAGATACAGGCAGGTTTACCTGGATTAGGGAAAGGGTTAATGTAATATTGTCTGAAAGATACAGGCAGATGTACCTGGATCAGGATTAGGGTTAATGCAATATTGTCTGATAGATACAGGCAGGTTTACCTGGATTAGGGAAAGGGTTAATGTAATATTGTCTGAAAGATACAGGCAGATGTACCTGGATTAGGGTTAATGTAATATTGTCTGATAGATACAGGCAGATGTACCTGGATTAGGGAAAGGGTTAATGTAATATTGTATGATCAATACAGGCAGATGTACCTGGATTAGGGAAAGGGTTAATGTAATATTGTCTGATAGATACAGGCAGATGTACCTTGATTAGGGTTAGGGTTAATGTAATATTGTATGATCAAAACAGACAGATGTACCTGGATTAGGCTTAATGTAATATTGTTTGATACATACAGGCAGATTTACCTTTGTTAGGGTTAGGGTTAATGTAATATTGTCTGATAGATACAGGCAGATTTACCTGGATTAGGGTTAGGGTAATATTGTCTGATAGATACAGGCAGATTTACCTGGATTAGGGAAAGGGTTAATGTAATATTGTCTGATAGATACAGGCAGATGTACCTTGATTAGGGTTAGGGTTAATGTAATATTGTTAGACAGATACAGGCAGGTTTACCTGGATTAGGGATAGGGTTAATGTAATATTGTATGATAAATACAGGCAGAAGAACCTGGATTAGGGTTAATCTAATATTGTCTGATTAATACAGGAAGATGTACCTGGATTAGGGTTAGGGTTAATGTGATATTGTTTGATAAATACAGACAGATTTACCTGGATTAGGGATAAAGTTAATGTGATATTGTCTGATAGATACAGGCAGATTTACCTGGATTAGGGAAAGCTTTAATGTAATATTGTCTGACAGATACAGACAGATGTACCTGGATAGGGTTAGGGTAAATGTAATATTGATTGACACATACAGGCAGATTTACCTGGGTTAGGGTTAATGTAATATTGTTAGACAGATACAGACAGATTTACCTGGATTAGTGTTAATGGAATATTGTTTGATAAATACAGGCAGATTTACCTGGATTAGGGTTAATGTAATATTGTCTGATAAATACAGGCAGATGTACCTGGAGTAGGGTTAGGATTAATGTAATATTGTTTTAAAGAT